GCGCATGCCTGTAGTTGTGGCTACTTGTAAGGCTGAGGCAGAAGGATCACCTGAGCCCAGCAGGTCAACACTGCGGTGGCCGTGAGCGTACCACTGCACTCCAGCCTGGGCGATGGAGTAAGACTCCGATTCAAAGAAAAAAAGAAAAGAAATTCTGGGCCAGGAGTCAGGTTTGAAGGTAGAAAGGAGAGCTGCAAGGAGGGAAATTTGGGCTGTGGAGTTGGGGTAGGGGGAAGAGATGCACAGAGGAGACAGGGCCTAGACGAGGCTTTGATGAGCAGGCCCGGGGGGTCAGTGGAATGCAGACCAAGAGGGAGCCAGGAGGCAGAAGGACGAGGATTCACACACACACACACACACACACACACACACACACACACACACACACACACACACCCCTGGTATATAGCTGATTACTTCCAAAGAGCCCATCTGTACCCAAGACCCAAACTGCTACAAAGCAGAGTCTGGCCTCCTGAGTAAGGATGAGACATAGATAGTAAAGGCAGGGGGCTGAGATCCGAGTGTGGGGAAAGGAGAGAGCCATCCTCTTCTATTCAGTTGGGTGGTGGCAGCAAAAGTATCAGCATTGTCAGGTATAGGCCTGTGCTACTTCACAGGATGAGGCAGGAGCTCCAGGGAGCCCACAGGAACAGTTGGAGCTGACCAAAGAGGGAAGGGACTGCAGCCGGGAGATGTGAGTGAGCTCACCATCCTGGAAGTGATCAAACACAGGCCAGCCCTCTTCTTGCGGGGTTATTATTGGGATTCCAGTCCCAGGTGGGCGGCTGGGCTCCCTCACTGCATGGGCCCCTCCAACCTAAAATTCTCTGAGTCTGTGGACAATGTGTGATAGTGAGGAGGGATTTAACATGGTTTGTTTGTTTGTTTTTCTTTAAGAAAAGCAGCTCTGGGGCCCTAGTCAGCACAGATGCCAAGGGAAGGAAGGAGTAACGTGTGCAGAGGTACAGACTTGCCTCTAAGTCAGCATCACCAGAAGGAAGCCTCAGGGTAATGATCCTTAAGGCAAGGCATCTGAGAGGCAGTGGGGGCTCCAGAAGGAGGCTGATGCTCTGAGACGCGAGAGCAGGACTTGGGGACAAGATGAAGACCAGGCACCAAATTAGCCCCACCGAGAAATCTAAGTGTGTGTGGGAACTGTACCAAGCTGTGTTGGGAAAAGATTCAGCAGGCACAAGATTAAAAGGCCATCAGAACACTTTGTAAGAAGGAAAATCCAGAAAGGACCAGGGAAACCTGACAGACAGGGAAGACTAACTCAGCCCACACCTTCTTGACTTTTCTCTCTTCAAAAAGGTTAAAATGTGGGCAATTTAAGGAAGTAAGTCCAAGTTGTTTGGGGAAACAGAACTGTAAATGAAAGTGAAAGAGACTGGCACTGCCTGGCTTGGGACCCATAGAGTCTGCACCGAGGAGTAATTTAGGAACTGTCATATCTCATCAAAAAGCTGCTCACCATTACTTCTGAGAGATGGAAAATAAGATGAAATATTCCTAAGTTCTGGTAAACGGCAATTATTACCATTATTATTTTTGTTGTTTTGAGACAGGGTCTCACTCTGTCACTGGGCTGGAGTGGCACGATCATAGGTCACTGCAGCCTTGGTTGCCTAAATTCAGGCAATCCTCCTACCTCAGCCTCCCAAGTAGCGGAGACTACAGGCATGCATTACCATGTCTGGATAATTTTTTTTATTTTTTAAACTTTTTCTGGTAGAGACGAGACCTCACTATATTGACTGGTCTCAAACTTCTGGGCCCAAGCAATCCCCTTGTCTCAGCCTCCCAAAGTGCTGGGATTATAGGCATAAGCCACCATGTCTGGCCAAGGACAGATGTTTTTTTTCAAAGGGAAAACAAAATGACACTGAAAACTACAGTCCAGTCAGCTTTGTGTCAGACCTAAAAAGGTGATAAAATAAACTCCGTTTGGTCAATCCCCTCAGTTAGTATATGATGGTGCCTAGTGACAGGCACCCGAATATGTCCTGCCTCAGAGAAGAGGGCAGGTTAACATTCCCCTGCTGTGCACATGCCAGGAGGTCTAATAAGGTAGAATCCCCCCTTTAGGTCTTAATGTGCAAACATTTAATCCACAACATGAAGGAGGAAAGAAGAATAATTAAATGGAAAAGAAGTTCATATTACAACAACAGAGGTGGATCAATCTGAGAAGACAGGTCGGGAGGGAAGGAGGCAGTGAGGACCTGAGGGTGAGAATTAGAGTCTATTCAACGTCCACCACTGGCCCACAGCAGCAGGCTGCAGACTTGATAAGAAATGGAGTGTTTCTTTTCTAAACAAAGCTTTCTATCTGTAAGCAGGGAAAAGCAGGCTTCCTTGGCTGAAGGGTGTGTTTGGGGACAGTGTTTGTGCGGTCTGGGGGCAGGGAAGTGAATGTTCCATCCACCAACCTCCCGCTGAGAGACCTGAAGCTTCCTTAGAACAGAGGCAGGAAAAATCACTGGGCTAGATAAAGGAATTGAAAACGAGCTCACTGAGCTCGGCATCGATGACAAAATTGGTAAATTCAACAATACAAAAGGAGACAGAGATGATTTTCATAACCGGTCTTGAACAGTGGGGAAAATAATTCACTAAACCAAAGTACTGACTCAAAATGGCCAGTGCAGGTGGCTGCAGGCAGAACAATGGGCCTGTCCTCCCATTCTTCCCCAACTGACTGCCAGACACATGTGCACATCGGGAAATTTAGCCAGAATGAAATCAGTATAGCTCAGGTCTACCTAAGCCAATAACAGAAAAGAGAAGACATTTAGGTTCCAGTTAAAAAACAGTAGACTACATATGGCTTTGATTCTGACTGGAAAGGGCTCCTTAAATGCTTAAAACAATGACTTTGTCTCAGTTCATAACTTAATTTTTTTGTATGGAACGCTTCACAAATTTGGCGTGCCATCCTTGCACAGGAGCTATGCGACTTCTCTGCAGCGTTCCAATTTTAGTATATGTGCTGCCGAGGTGAGCACCTTCACTTAATTTTTAAAAGAAATATTACTTGGGGGGTTCCGCAAAAGAACGTTTAAGAAGATATCTTAGCTATGGTGTACTCTTTTTTTGTTTGTTTGTTTCTTGACTTTATTATTGTGGCAAAACATATATAATACAAAATTAGCCATTTTAACACTTCTTAAGTGTGCCATTCAGTGGCATTAATTCCACTTAAAATGCTGTGCAACCATCATTGCTATTTCTAAAACTCTTTTATCGCCCCAAACAGAAGCTCTGTACCCATTAAATAATGACTCTCCATTCTGCCTTCTGTCGGCTACTGGTAACCTCTACGCTATTTTCTGTACCTATGGATTTGCCTATTCTAGGTATTTCATATAATGGAATCATGTAATATGTGCCCTTTTGTGTCTGGCTTCTTTCACTCAGCATAATGTTTTCAAAGTTCATCCGTGTTGTGGCGTGTAACAGCATTTCATTCCTTGTTATGGTTGAATAATCTTCTGCTACAGTTATATACCACATTTTGTGTATTCATTCATCTGCTGATAGACACTTGGGTTGTTTTCACCTTGTGGCTAGACCCAGCCCCCAAGCCATCCTGAGGAGAAGAGACTACATCATGTCCTTTCACAACTGCAGGATGAAGAAAGTGGAACTGCCCACTCTGGATAAAGCAGGCTGGCGGGCCAGCCTTCACAACAGCAAGGCCAACAGGAAGGGGGTGGCTGAACACAGGACAGGAGGGAGGCTGTGGCCTTGAGGAAGGGGTGTCGGTTGAAAGGCAGTGTCCAGGGTTAACCCCCGCGATGCAACCCAGCAACTGGCGGAACACATGGCCCAACTTGCCATGCTTCTCACACAGACTTCCCAGTGGCCTTGGCCAGCCCCACCCTCTCTGCGTGCCCACCCCTGTACTTGCCTGGGGAAGGGCTGAACCACACCAGATAATTCCTGAGGTTCCTTCCAGTTCTGACAATTAGTCCACCAAGACCTTGACCATAAGGTGACTATGCAGCTAACTAATAAAGGGCTCTGTTTGGAGGAGGAGGAAGAAAGGGGAATCTGGAGGTGGCAAAGTCCAATTCTTCCAGAAGGAGAGTATGGTGTTCACTGCGGGGTATGCAGGGAGTGACGGCAGGGCCACCTCCCAGTGAGGGTCAGGGAGGGACTGAAAGAGGCTCAGCAGATACTAGAGATGTATCTGCCCTAGGGAAGAGTGATTCCTGGGGGCCAGGCTGGCCCTGTCAGGGAATTCTTAAACCACTGGTGAAGGAAATGAGGGAAAGGCTTGGTGGGCAAGGCTAACAGGAATCTGAGTGATTTCTACAAGAGGCCAGAATGGCCTGGGGTCAGGTTCCATTGAGGGACACAGTCCAGACAGGGCACACGGCATGCCTAAAAGAAGATGCGGGAGAAAAACAGAACAGGGAGCCACCTTCCTGTTCCTGGACTCCTGTTCCTGGACTCATGTTCCTCCGACATTAGCCAGCTGTATGTCCCTGTAGGAAACACTGAACCACGCTGGGGCCTCACTCCTCATCCATATGATGGGTGGCTCAGAATCCATAATCTCTGTGGTCTAAAAATTTCAGGGCACATGGAACACTGAAGGGGGTGTCAGGAGAGAGATCTCTTCCACACTCGTTCTCTTAGCAAATGTCTACTGACCACTGCTCTGTGCCAGGCATCCTTCCATCATCCCACCTGACTCCAAGGGACACACAGGAGTGGTGTCGTCAGTATCTTCCAGTTGCAAAGATTTTCAAGGGTGAATTAAGGCAACCAGGAAGAACAAGCTACCCTTGACAAGCTCCTCCGGGCGAGCCTGCAGTCAATGCCAATCAAGGGATGTGGCTAGCATCATGCACCACCCACCATGTGAAAACAGTTTATTCCTATGCTTTAATTTTCTCCACTTACTGAACATGACACTCCTGGATATCTGGGGGCCCCTGGGTAGGGGCCCCTGTGGGCTGTGGAACTTGGAAGTCAGCTGGACTCACCTTTACGCAGGAGTAGATCACGGATACAAACACCACCAGGGTCAGCAACAGGAAACAGGTCAGGTAGAAGCTCAGCATGAACACGGAGCTGGAGGAAAAGAGGAGGTGAGGGAGCAGCCAGGACTAGGTGGCGAGGCTGCAGCTTCCTCGGGGCCTACTCGGCAAGCGGGTTGCAGGTCCCCAGTGCCTGTCCTCACGGCTCCAGAGGGCCTGGGCTTCAGAAGCCCCCGAGAGGTGACCAGAAGTTGCTCCATCTCCCCTGAACCCACTGCCAGGTCTTCTGCACTGATCCACAGAGCAGGGCTCATCAGTCTGTAGATAGATCTGGGGGCCCTCCCCACGATGGTCTGGCTCCTGCTCTGCCCACTTTCCTGTCACCTTCCCTTGGAGACAGCAGCCCACAGGAAGCCAAATGGAAAACCAGGTGACACCTGATCAATACTTTGCATAATTCTTAGCTATCCACAGACATGCTTCATTTAGCCTGGAAGAACCCATTGAAAAACTGCCTGATTTTTCCCTTCAAGTCGTCACTCATGGCTTGGTGAGTAACTTCAGAGGCTGAAATCTTGATAAATGGCTTTCATTAATGAAATGCCTTTATCAGCAGTCCAGCTAGCCACGCCTTGAGAAACAGGAGTGAAGTGTCTTTTCAGAAGAGCAGAGTCCCTGAACCCTGTCCTCTTCCCACTGTCAGGCCACACAGCAAGTCCTGTTCCATTTTTGCTCCCCTATTCCTAGCCAGTTACACACACACACACACACACACACACACACACACACACACACACACACATTTCCCTCTGCCCCTTTTTTCACATGCAGATCACAGGTGACCATATGCCACCATGGGTGGGAACTCTCAGACAAAGCAGCCGCAGGGCTTTCCATACAGAACTTGCCATTGGCCCTCCTGGGGCAGAGGCTGGCCCAAGTACAGCATGCCCTACCACACCACCAGGTGGCCTTTCAAGGGAGGAAAAGTGGTCTGAAGACGCCAGGTATTGTTAGCAGGTTAAACGCCAGTAGGAGACTTGAGAGGCAGGTGAACACCTCTAGGGAGGACTCAAATGGCGTCTTTAATCCAGGCTTCCACAGAAGCCAGCACTCAGCTGCCTTCAACAGATGGAACAAGGAAAAAACAGAAGAAAAGAAAGACCTTCAAAGTGGCTTTTAAGGCTTCCCTAATGAGGGGGCAGTTAGAGAACAACCTCTGTCAGTGTCTATGCCACCAGGAGCTCTGGCCAGCAAAGGGAAGAAGGCCGCTGCAGACAGAGCAGGTAGCTGGGATGGCCCAGCCCCCAAACCATGCTGCCGAGAAGGAAAAGTAGCCAAGAGGCAGGATGATGCCCTCACGCTACATGGTTGCCAGTCGCAATGGGACCAAAAACCCAGGTTGCTTATTGACACCTGTGGTCCATATTAGTACAGGTAGGGTTCTATGCCAATAAGGACCCCCAATCAGTGCAGGGGGTGATGGGCTAGGCTGCACAATCAGGGTGGAACTGGCTATCAGTCTGATGGAGTCACATCGGGCACAAATCTCTTCATCCTTTTAAAAATGGCATTAAAAATGAAAGGCGTTAAGTAGTAAGACATGTCGACATCACGCACCTTCTGATATGGTACACTGAGAAGGACACATCATCACGTCTGTGGGAGCCTTGTCAAAATGCATAACCCCAATCTAGTCATGAGAAAACATCAGACACACCCAAGTTGAAACATTCTACCAGTTAACTGTCCAGTACTCATCAAAAGTGCCAAGGTCATGAAAGACAAGCAAAGGCTGAGGAACTAGCCCAGACTGGAGGGGACTAAGGAGATACATCAACCAAATGCAACATGGGATCCTAGACTGGCTCAAGGACCCTGGGGGAAACTGACGAATTGGAATAAGGTCTGTAGATTAGTTAACAGTATCATTCCAGTTTTAATTTCCTAGTTTTGATCATTGTACTGCAGTTATGAAAGTTGTTAACATCAGGGGAAACTGAATGAAAGATGTAAAGAAACCCTATGACTTTTGTACCTTCTCAGTCACAAACATTTCAAGATGAAAAACAGAAGGTGTCAGGTGCAGGGACTCTCTGGGTTAGGCAAGACTTACAAAATATGATCAAATGCAACCAGTGGATTTCACGCATATGCGGGCTATGAATAAACTAAGAGTAGAAGACGTTTGGGGGGACAAGTTGGAAACTTTGAACATGGAATGGTGTTAGGTGATAGAAGGAGATTGATGTTAATTATAATGTATTGTGGTTAAGGAGGAAAATGTCCTTAAAATAAGTGTCTACTGAGGTTTTTAGGGGCCAGATGTCTTTGTATTTAAATTTACTTTTAAAAAATCAGAATAAAAATAGATGAAACAAACACTGCAAAATATTAGCAATTGTTGTATCCAGGAAATGAGTGTTGATTATATTAATTACTTTACATTTCTGTATGTTTGATGAATTGCATAATAAATAGTAAAAATATGTATTTATACACATGGCTGTATGTATATGTATATGTATATATACATGCACACATATATATACATATATCCATACATAAGGAAATTATGTTTGTTTCCTAGGTGTGACTCTCATGTGGATGATGATTTAACAAACCCTTCACTTCCAAAAGTCCACTGTACACTTCAAAGTGGCCCACAGAAGCCACAGGCTCCCTCAGGGACACAGCCAGTCCTCAGAAGAGTTCAGAAGCATCTCTTTGTGAAACATCTTCAGAGCACACAATCGATTCTACGAAATATCCAGAGTAGTGGAAAACCCTTATCTTTTGAAGATGTATTCCTTTTTTTGCAAAAACCAAACACCATGCAGAAACCATCTTGTGAAGGCTTTGGGTGACTCAAACGTCAGTGATGGTGTGGGTTAAATGGAACAAGATGACAAAGTGATGAAAAGGATCTCTCGTGCAGCTGAGCAGCATCCAGGGAGGCATCTTCCTCCCTGGAACGAGCCATTGCCTCCCCTGTCCAGACAGGTCAGACTCCTCAGGCTTCCTAGTCCCAACCGAGGACATGTTCGGAAACTTCACTCCCTGCCTGAGCAAGTGCAGTCCAGACTCCCTGCTCTGCTCTCCTAAATGATCACCACCTCCTGCCCCTGGGAGAAGCCCAAGAGGGATGGGGATACTCACTGGGGCACGATGGTGATCTGGACAAAGCAGATGAAGAGGAAGACGAGTGAGGCACACGCCACGTAGGCACCGAATCGGTCATCCACCTGCTTGGAGTACTGAGAGGAGATGGGCAAGGTGAGGGGGTGGAGGCACCTGACCTGCTCTGCTCCAGCTGGTCAAGCCCAGACACACGTGGGGCAGCCCTGGTCCTCCGTGCAGCCCAGGATAAGGAAGACCTCAGAATCAGGGCCAGACTTAGAACACAAGAAACTAGTGCCTGTGGGGAGGCAGTTGAGAGGGACTAGGAACTGCATCAAACCAGAAATTTTCTGCAGGCTGGCCACCATCACAGTAACCATGATCACGGCTGTAAATTACTGGGCACCGTTTATGTGCCAGGAAACGTGTCTACAGGTATCGCCAGGCACCCTCACAACACCCCAGGAAGTCGGCACAGGATGGCTGTTATTTCTCCTTCAGGGATGAGCAAGCTGGGGCTCACAGGGGTCTCAAGACTCATGCAAAGTCATCTCATACCAGCTTTCCCCATGACACCAACCAACTGTGCTAAGGAGGTTGGGTTGGGACAGTCACTCGGAGAGTAACATCTAAGTTAGGTCTATTTCCTGCTGGTCCCTTTCCATAGTTGTACCCTGCTAACTAGGTTTGTTAATTTATTTATTTTTATTTGTTTTTGAGTTGGGTCTTACTCTGTCACCTAGGCTGGTGTGCAGTGGCATGATCATGGCTCAACACAGTCTCAATTTCCTGGGCATAGGTGATCCTTCCACCTACATTCCCTGAGTAGCTGGGGCTATAAGCATGCGCCACCAGACCCGGCTAAATTTTTTTTTTCTTTTTTCCTTAGAGACAACGTCTTGCTATGTTGCCTAAGCTGGTCTGGAACTCCTGGGCTCAAGCCATCCTCCCATTGCGGCCTCCCAAAGTGCTGGGATTATAGGCATGAGTCACAATGCCCAGCAAGGTTTGCCAGTTTAATGCAAACATGAGTTCACATAAGCCCATTTTAACTGAACGCTGGGGAAACCCTGCTACATAGTGCAAAGAGAACTGCCCGGACCAGGGTCTGGCTCTGGCTCTGTTGCTGCTTCACTGGGTGGCCAGGGGCAAATCCCCAACCACTCTGGGCTTCAGCTTTCTCATTCACAATTTAAGGTGATGTGACAGAGAGATCCTGACTGCCCCTTCCCACTTTAACACCTTGAGGTTCCAGTGTGCTGTCCATTGACAATGATAATGACAATAACAATAATACAAACAGCATTTAACATGTACTGAACACCTACTGTGTAGCAGATACTGTTTCATGTTTTATACGTATGCAAGGGGAGAACTCCAAACATTTATTTATTTAAAAATTGTATATTTATTTTTACATGTTTGCACTTCAGTCACTGTCCATGCAATGCACCTATCAAGATGCTTTTTCCACTGCTCAAAACAGTTTTTGAACTCATCTATGTTGATGCCTGTTAGCGCTTCTGCCATTTTTTGTTTCACTTCTTCCACACTGGCAAAACATATCCCTTTGAGGGCTTTTCTTCATCCAGAGAAACAAAAATAAGTTGCTTGGGGGGCAATATCAGGTGAATAGGGAGAGTGGAGTACCAGGCTTATGCCATTTCTTGTCAAAACTGCTGGACTCACAGTGCGGTTTACTCATTATTTATGTAAATGAAATGGGAAAACACACTGAAAGAATCTCCAAAAAAAATTCACTGAAGCCAAATGCAGCCTCTCATAACAACGCTAGCTGGTATAGTGATGCTGATGGGTTCCTAGGACACTCATCTAGCAGGAGAAGCCTGTACTACAAGAGGCTCAACCTCCAAAAGATAATTCTGGGTTTTGAGCCCCCCACTCCCCATAAACTCATTTGATTCTATGATCCTCAGGCAAGACAGGGATTTTAAACATCTCCATTTTCCGGATAAGGACACTGATTAACAGAAAGATTAAGACTGATCCCTTCTAGCCAAGGAAGCTTCACTAGAATACCCATCTCCCTATGTAGAGTAGCAACAGAGCTGGGGAAACTAAGGTAATAAGAGGAGGCTCCTTCACAGTGCTGGAGACAGAGGAGACAGCACCACTGTTTCCTTGCCCTTCTACCTGGGTCTTCCTGGGGTCCCCTTCCCACCCCCAGTGCTGTACCTTCTTCTCTAAGTCAGGCTCCCTGAAGGTCAAGAGGAACTTGCGGACGTGCTCAGATCGCAGCCTGTCGATGCTCCTGGCGTCGATGGCGCGGCCCAGAAACTCATCCACTTCATCCTCAGGGTTCGCGCTTTCCTGGGCATTCCTGGGGAGTAGGAGGTATAGACACAAGGCTGATCACCAGAGCACCAGCAGAGGCCTAGTGCTCCTTCCTTCTACCTGGGGTATCAGAGAGACCTGGTAGCTGCCCACCATCAGCCCAAATCAGTGCTAGGGAAGCTGGAATTGAGACCAGGGTAGTCAAAAGGCCAACATCATGCTCTTAAGTGCCCACATAGTAGAAAACTGCCCAAGTCTCAGACCCACTGGCTGGAGGGCCTCATGGAAAATAGGTCTTTCTGACTCTACTAATATGTTATAATAACAATCTGCAAGTCATTGACAGTTTGTTTTTTCCCTACAGCTAACAACCTGGGCTCTTTACTCTCCAGCTGTGCCAACATCCTCAAAGAAGGTCAGAATTGCATGGCGTGACTTCTGCCACAGGGACTGTGGTCCACCCAGTCTCTTTAACCTGGCTCAGGGCACTCTTGGGAAGCAGGTTTCATGGTTTGGGAGGCTGAACTTAAAAACCCTATTTCTCAGGGTGAAGCCCAGCCCCAGAGTGGAATTTCTGACAGTCCTGAGGACTGGGAAATGAAAAAGGAAGAGGAAGGCATTGCCTCAGGGCACTGGATGTGGTCAGGCGCTGCTGCCCAGTGTGCAAGGTCTGCATTCTCCTGAGGGAGCCACACACACGTGCACATGTGTGGAGAGCAAATGGGCAGTGCTGAGGCCCAGCCCTTCTGCCCAGTAGCCTGGGATTCTGGCCACTGTGGCCTGTCTGGGCAGCTGCTGACTGCCTGTCTGCTAGGTTGGGCTCTGTGCATGCTCAGATGCATGTGGGATCACTTTCCATGGGATGGGGAACCTGGGTGATATCCCCAGACTGAGGGAAGCAGGAGTAAAGACAGGCATATTACTCACTTGTCCTTGGGGTCTTCAAAGCCCTAAAGGAGAAGAATGGAGAGAGAAACAGAGGAGTATGAGAACAGAGGACAAAGCACAGAAGCTTCGAGAGGTAGGAGCTTCTAGAAGCCTGCAGCTCATCTTCTCTCTACAGCCTCCCAAGGGCTTGGACATAGAGGACTGCCACTCAGCAGTTCCTCCCTTCCTTCATTGGGTTCTCTTCAAGAGATGGGCTCTGTGCAAGATGTTGGAATGCACTGAAACTTTACTTTGTCCATGGGCACAATTCATGTGTTTAAGCTCTTCCTGAACCCATGCATGGCTCCTTCCTGTACTCCCCAAATCTCTCCTCCCACTTCTGCAGCACCCTGGCCTCAGAGGGTCCCTTCCCAATTTTGCTACTTACTCAGAGAGAAATAAGGAATTGCTAAGCTGTTCCATCTCATACATACTCATGTACACACTCAGGCACACCCACTCCACACACACTGAGCACACACACAATCTATAGGAGTTCACACATTTTGCACTTGAAAGAATTAAACACCAATGGCCTGCAACAGCTTTTTTGGTATCTGAGAACAAATGTATTCTTGTAAGGCCAGTGCTGCTTGGGGACTTAGAGGATAGGAACCCGCCTGCGCTGGTTTGACTTCTGTTCTATCATTCATTTCCACAGGGAGGAGGTGAGAGAGGGAAGGGCCTTTCCTGATTGTCAAACTCAAAGTTCCACTTAAACTATGAACAAAAGGAGGGATGTGTGTCAGGGTCTGACCAGTGGCAGAATGGAGGGCTCCCCACAGTAGGGAGGGGTAGGATTGGGGAGGCAGTGCAGGATGTGACAAACAGCCCCATGACAAGCCCTTTCGAATAAGGCTCAGGTTGCCAGGACAAGGACAGAGGACACCCCCTCATGTCTGTGGTCCAACACGGAACACTCTGCTAGGCAAACAGGGAGTTCAGACAATGCTGAGTGAACCAAAAATTCAAATGAACAAACCTCTCTTCCTTCTCAGTGAAGGCACAGCATGAAAATACAAAAAGACTTCTCCACAAGCTAGAACTGCCAGGCACCAAAATGGACATGGGGTTCCAGGGGCCTTGAGGGGCTGTGTCTCTGCTCTACCCCCTGCTGGGAGCTCCTGGGAGCCTCGGAGTCTCCAGAGGCACCTCCAAGGGATGGGCTCTGGGCTCTGCGCTCCTCCCAGGCTGCCCTCACCCAGCCCAGGAGGGAGGCAAGCTGGACCCTTCTCCCTGTTCTCTGAGAATCCCCACACCCTCCCTCCAGGCTACAGACCAGTCCCACTTCACTACCCCAGCCCTGGCCTAGATGAGTGGAGTCACTTTGGTGAGTGCTCCCTCGGGTCCATGCCTGATGTTCTCAGGATCCCTTGGAACACAAGCACAGCCGGGCAGCAGACAGCTGGACAGGCGGGCTCTCTACAGAAGACCCACTGTGAGGGGCGGGCCCATTGAATTCCATCCCAGGAGCTAGCAACAATTTTACCAGGGAACTGGGAGCAGCTGAGTGGTAGTACAGGTTTGCTGGTCTCTACAGCTCAAAAGTGTAGCTGAAATGTTTAAAATAAGTCCATGTCTAACTTTTTCCAATGCTTCTTTCGTCATCTGCTGAGGTTGGTGCAAGGGACCCAATTTTTCCTCCTGTGCTGAGCAGGGAGCTGGGTCCATTCCAACCTCCCTGCTTGCCATGTTAGTGTGCAGAGTTCAGCATCAGTTGGGATAGGGATTGACAACAGGTCAGAAACACTTTGGTCCACAATCCATGGCAGTCGGGGTGTCACTAAGAACACAGCTCAGCAGACTGGGCTCAAATCCCACCTCCCACTCACTAGTGCTGGGACAACGAGGATGACATCAACTTCACCCCTGGCAGCCTGCCTGTGTTCCTCTGCCTGCCTCCTCTGACACTCCACCCCATCCTGCTGGCCGTTCCTACACTTAGTTAGATGACCTCAAGTCCACACGTGTTTATTTCCACAGGCAGCACTGTTGTAAGTAATAATCGTAAAGACTTTACAATGTAAAGACCTTACAACAGACCTAAGCATCAGCCAGCAGAGCTCATCACCGCATTTTAAAAGACAAGTAAGGCTGGGCGTGGTGGCTCATGCCTGTAATCCCAGCACTTTGAGAGGCCGAGACAGGAGGATTGCTTGAGTCCACGAGTTCAAGACCAGCCTGGACAACATAATGAGACCTCATCTCTAAAAACAAAAAAAAAATGTTTAAATAAATAAATAAGTGGAGTAAAAGCTGGCAAAAGATTTTTTTTTTTTTTTTTTGAGTTGGAGTCTCACTCTGTTGCCCAGACTGGAGTGCAATGGCCGCTCCCGGCCACTGCAGCCTCAACCTGCTGGGGCTCCGGTGATCCTTCCGCCTCAGCCTTCCAAGGAGCTAGAACTACAGGCGCACGCTACCACGCCCGGCTAATTTTTTTTATTTATTGTAGAGATGAGGTCTCACCAAGCTGCCCAGGCAGGTCTTGAACCTGCAGGCTCAGGCAATCCACTCACCTCAGCCTCCCAAGGCGCGGGATTACAGGCTGAGTTACCAAGCCCGGCTCGCAAAAGATTTTAAAGGAACTGCTGACTCCCAGTTTGTACCTTTCCAACTGTTGTCAGTCACTGCTGCACTGAATTCCCAGCCTTCCATCCCACCATCAGTGGGCTGCTTTTCATAAGACTCACCAAGTATTGGCAAGTCAGGGTGGATGCTCTCCTTCTGCATCTCTTTCTCAAAGGTTTCAGACAAGTTTAATACCACAAACCAATGGCCTCTGCAGCAGCTGCTAAAACCAGTCTCCATCCCTGACCTAGAGACTCCAGCTGGCTGGGGTGGGGCCAGGAGGCTGTGCCTTGATGCCAGGTCCCTTAGGAGATGCTCTGCTCCCACAGACCACTGCAGAGACTGTCCTGGTCTGGCCTTTTCTGTCCTGGCCCTGCTCTTGGGCAAGCTTCTTACCCTCTCCTGCTGGGTGAAGCAATTAACACCACAGAGGAGCTTCTTGGCAGCCTCCTTTCCCCCTAAGACTGCCCTTTCCCCATTACAGCCATGACTGCTAATTCTTCCAGAGTTCCTCATCCTAACAATGATTAATATATCTGCCAAACCAGTGCTTATAGTCCCACCTGCCTCCTTTCAGACGCCAATATAACTAAAGATGCACCTTAAACTAGGTATCACTAAAAAGTAACTTTCCAAGGGGTTTAAAGAGAAAATGGTTCTCCACTGGGCCCTTTTCTGCTTGCTGGTTGCTCCCTGCCCCTTCCTGCACCCACTGAAAGGCTAGGGTTCAGGGGGGAGTCTCAGCACAGAGAGCATAGCGGACCATCATTAGCACTTTCCAGAAAGCGCTAGGATGGTTTCTGAGCAACTGAGCCAACAGATGTGGTTTCAGTTGCCTGGGAAATGTAGTCAGTGCTGGAAGGTGGTCTGACAAACTGGGGCCCACCCAACTCTCCAGGGCCTCGCCAGACAGCTGGAGGCTCTGGGTTGGACCGAGTCTAGCCAGATGGGCCTGCTTCCAGACCACACTGCAGAGCTCTGCTGAGAGGGAGAAGGAAGGGGCATCACCACTCTGTTCCAGAACCAAACCAGGCATGCCATGAGACAGTGGGGGGAGCCTGGGCCAGAAGCCAGGTGCTCTGGCTGCTAGCCCACAGGTGGGGTGAACCCCACATCTGTTTCCTTCTGTGGCTCCCCAGATTCATGAGGTACCTGGTGCAGCCCTCACACCCATGGAAGGCCCTGACCCTGGACGGTGTTGCCCTGCCAGTCACTTACCATCCGTTTCATCTCCTTGGACACCTGGTTGCCGCCCAGGTGGTTGTAGAAGGGGCGCTCGGCCCCCCAGTGTGGCGGGTTGTGCCCGATGGAGTTGGTTCTCTGGCGGTTCATCTTGGCGATCATGGCCTTCTCTTCTTTCTGGGAGACCAACACAGATGCGTCAGCCTGCAGGCAGGGCTATCAAAGGAGCCCAGGTGGAAAGCTCCTCTCCTCATTCCTTCCAGGAACACGGCACCTGGCCAGGTAAGTGGCCATGGCAGCTGCCTTCTCCTCTCTGCATAACCCTGGAGCCCAGAGGTCTGCCAAGCTCCCCCAGGCAAACATCCTGGGTCCCTCCACACTCCCTAACACCAGCCCTAGTGGGCCCAGGCAGGAGCAGCTAAAGATGACAAGAGATGGTCTTGTGAGAAGGCAAAGGGTGTAGGAACATCTGTTGTCTGCAAGGAGCTCTCCACAAGAAACTTGACCAAAATGTTCTATCCCTAGTGCCTCTCAAAACGGATGCTCATGCTCTTCTTCTGACAGGTGTGAGCCGATGCACCCAGCTGCCCACCCTGTGCTTCCTCTCCTCCCCTACTGGGAGCTGGGGGGGGAGGGTTTAGAGAAGGCTGAGACTCACCTCTGGTCTCCCCAAGAGCCCGGCCACTCATGCCTGAGCCTCCCACCTCGGTCCCTGGCAAGCTGTGGTGTCACTCTGGGCTCTGCTCACGTGGATGCAGGGGCTCAGAGCAGGATAAGGCTCTACCCACAGCCTGAGCGTGGGCAGAGACTGAGTCTCAAGGTGACCAAGGACTGCTGTGGGGAGAGGAGACCTAGGATTCCAGCTTCTGCTCAACTTCTCCAAAACAGGCATGTTCTAGCAAAGGACAGGCCCCAGTGCCTGGAAGGCAGCTTCCAAAGAGGTTTGGGTAAAGTTATGAGACTCAAGAGCTAACATACAGTGTACAAAAATACAAATGGAGATTCAGACCACTACCCATGGGACAGCACACTCCCCAGCATCTACATCTGTCTGTCTATCTATCCAAATGCAAGAGGTAGAGGATGGGAAGGCGCTGGGAGACCCCAATTGGCCTTCTCTCACCCCCCTTCCTCATGGTGGGGGTGCACTCAGCCTGTCTCAGTGGACGCTGCTGGGGGGACAGTGTCATTCTCTGTCTCCATTTCATATTTCTGGACCACCTGGTAAGCTGGAGGAGCCAAGAGCGAGAAAACTCAGGCTAGAGGACCGAACTAGCTCACAAGGTGCTGGAGGCCTTATGAACCAGGGCCAAGAAGAAGGACGTGAGCAAGATCCAGAGAGGACTTCAAAGTTCTTCGATCCTCCAATCGAATAGCCGGGATATGTTTACAAATGTGACAAGTAAGTCAGGAGGGGCTCTCCCCACAGCGCCCTGAATCCTCTGCTCCGCTTCCTGGCATCTGCACGTGGGTCTGACACAGCTCCCTCAACATGCCCTCGCAGTCAGACTCCATCTCCTGGGTGTGCAGGACAAGTGTCCCCCTTAGGGTGGGCACTGGCTCTAAATGGTCCCGCTGTCCTTTAAAGGTCTACTTTTGCTGTCGTCCTAGACTTTCTTTGAACCCTCCTCACAGCTTAATTCTGTCTTTTGTCTCACTTCTTAGGAAGAGAAACGGGGAAGCTTTTCTCTGTCAAAGGGCACTGACCAACAGAGGAATTCAATGGTAGGGCTCATAGGTAAAAGGCATTTTAATTTAGGGAGAAATAGAAAATGTTCTCTTCATTCAGTTTTAAAAATTAAGATCATGGAACATGACACTATTAAAAATAGAACACTGAAGTCTGCTAATAATTCAGTTTTATATTTTGGCAAGTGTGGGCTGAGACAAAGGAGGAAGAAGAAAAGAGACTAGAAAAGGGAAGATGGGAAAAGGCTGGGCCCAGTGGCTCCTGCCTGCAATCCCAGCACTTTGAGAGGCAGAGACACGAGAACTGCTTGAGGCCAGGAGTTCAAGACCAACCTGGGCAACATAGTGAGATATTGCCGCTACAAAAATAATTTTTAAAAATTAGCTGGGCATGGTGGTATGTGCCTGTAGTCCCAGTTACTCAGGAGGCCGAGGCAGGAGGATCACTTGAGCCCAGGAGTTGGAGGTTATAGTAGAGTTATGATTGTGCCACTGCATTCCAGCCTAGGCAACAGAGCAAGACACTGACTCAAAAAATAAAAAGTACGAATAAAGATATATAAGTAAATTCAGATTTAGACACTGATACATATATACATATATATGTGTATGTGTGTGTGTGTGTGTGTGTGTGTGTGTGTGTATCAGAGATAGAGAAATAAGGACAAATATCTACCTAGTAAAAGGCAAAAGGAAAGGAGGGATAGAGAGAAAATATATGGTATCCCCAGATTTCCTTAATGCTTCATTTCCTTTTTTTTTGTAAAGTAGGAGTCTTGCTCTGTTGCCCAGGCTGGAGTACAGTGGCAGGATCATAGCTCACTGTAGCCCTGAACTCCTGGGCTCAAGCAATCCTTCTGTCTCAGTCTCTGAGGTAGCTGGGACTACAGGCATGTGCCACCACACCTGACTAATTTTTAAAATTTTTTTAGAGAGGGGTCTTGCTATGTTGCCAGGCTGGTCTCAAACTCCTGGCCTCAAGCAGTTCTCTCGCCTCAGCCTCCCAAATTGCGGGGATTACAGGCCTGAGCTACTGTGCCCAGTCTTTCATTTCCATCTTGTGGCCTTCTGATATTACTATAATTGATGAGAGGCCTGTTTTGCAACAGAAGCAAAATGAAAATACTTCCTCTCTGCCATCAGCCTTTGCAAGGCCTAACTCTCGAGTCCTTTCTAAGATGCAGGAACCACGAATGCATAGGGAATTCATTACTTTACTCAAGCAAAGAGGATGACAAGGAAGCAGCAGGCCAAGAAAATGTCCCTCCCCCAAAGAAGGAAGCCCCTCAGCCCCCTGGGCTTCAGGTCCCCCAGCCACGAACCCGCTTCTGGGTGCAGCGCAGAATGAGGAAGGTCTCAATACTATGCTCCTTGAGGTAGGCGTTGCGCTCGCCCCCGCAGCCCGGCTCCACCTCGTAGTCCCCGTTCAGGTAGTTGAGTGTAGCCTTAGTGATGTGGATGCGCCTGAAGATGGGGAGGGCAGAAAGTGGGAAGTCAGGATTCCAGCTCCCACACATACCCAGTGCACCCCACAGTTCAAACAGAGGGTCCCAAGCTCTGGCTCCAAAGCTGACCCAATCTTGTCCTGCATCCTTCCTATGTTACCAAGAAGGCTCTCGTAGGGAGCCTTTCTGGGGACCTGGGGCCCCCTGGGGACCTGGGGCCCAAGGGGCTGAGGGGCTTCCTTCTTTGAGGGAGGGACATTCCTGCTCATGCCCCCCACAACCATGCCATCTCACACCCAACATCCTGGCATGGACCATTGCATTAGCCTGCCTGGGAGGACACAGCCTCCAGCCTTGCAAACTGCAAACCTCTCGCTCCTGCTCAGAAGCCAGCAATGACTCCTGCTGACTGCAGGACAGAGTCCAAATTCCCCAGCCTGGCACTCATGCCTTCTTAACACAGGTACTGTCTCTCCTAGTCATTCCTAAAGGCCATCTGCTCTCCTTCCATTCCTTGGAAATACTGTCTTTTCCCGCATCTGTGCCTTTCTTCACCGTGCTCCCACAGCCCCAAGGGGTCTTCCCACCCCCACCTTCCTCACCCATCCCAGTTCTGCCTCCTGTATGTCCTGGCCACCCCGGGAGATTATTCGGGCTTCCTCCTGCCTCTAGAACTCTCTACCTATCACATCTCATGAGCCACCAAGTTTTGTGTAAACATCTTCTGGGCCAAGTCTTGGGGAAGATTAGGAGGATGGTCCTTACACCTTGCCCATGGTGTGGTTTAAGTGACTTAGCAAGAAGAGGAATTTCTAACTTCACCCTGCCCACCCCGGCCCCCAAGATGCCTGCAACCCCAACCTGCCCACCCCACCCCGTCTCCTCAGGATGGCCACCCGG